CCCCCCCAGGATTAAAGTTTAGGGTGTTATCATTCTCAATGCGCGCTATTTCCGAATTTGGGTAGGGGGTAGTTTTAATCGCCTTGAAGTCATCTGTCCATTACCGTAGGCAATCACACTAGGCGGCTTTCAGCCGGCCGGTTCCGCGAAGCACCGCGCTCCCTTCCAGGCCAGCTGCCCCCACCCGACCCGGTGGCCCCACCGCGTAGGTGGCCAGGAGGGGCGTGTAAAGTTAAGCACGCGTGAGCGTTTCTCGTGAGATGAGCATTCACGTGAGCAATGTCCGGCGCCAAACACAAAAGAAAATGACTTCAAATTGAAAATATCTTTTCACTCTACTTCTCTGTCAATTCAAATGCTTACATTGTACACTTAAAATAAAACGTACATGGCATGTATACTTTAATTAATGTATTATATGATATGTATTATATGATTAATACGTCCGTGGCAATGTACGATTTTATTTATAAATGTATACATACCCATGCACACACCAATGTATACATAACTATGTACGCATTTACAAATGCATGCGTACATGGCCATGTACGCATTAATAAAAGCGAACATGCCATGCTCACATTAATTTAAGTAAACATGCCATGTACGCTTTACTTAAAGTATACAATGTACGCATTTCAGTTGACAGAGTTACTCTCTCCTCTCTAAAAATGTATTGGTTTGTAATTTTTCGCGTCACTTTGCTTCTCACGTGGACGCTCATCTCATGTGAAACGCTCACGAATGCTCAACTTTACACGCTCCAGCTCCTGCAGTGGATGCGGACGGCGGCAGCGCGGACGACTTAGGCCCCACTAGGCCCCGACCCGGTGAGTTTTGTTCAATTCCTTCGCGATCTATCCCCTTCACACCTTTCCGAGTCCGTCGATACCGAATATCTGGCAATCGGCCTCATAGTAGAGCCTGCAGAGGGGGGTTACGGGCACTACAGTAGCTACGCCATCCTTTGTAGCTGTGAAAAGTTTAAATGTCTCACGTCTTTGGTTCTGACAAGGCAAAGTTTCGTGCCTTTCCAAAGGCACTAAATTTGTTTGGAACTCATAAGAAGCTAGCTAGCTACACTGATAAAGTAAGTATGTTACTAAGTTGAATACTGGCAAGTGTGCAACTCGGTAGGTGCATAAAGTGCACTTTCAAGTGTGCAACTCCTCGGTTGAGCACTTCTTTCACAGTAAGCGTCCAATCTAAGGAAGTGTTCAACCGAGGAGTTGCACACTTGCAAGTGCACACCTGCCGAGTTTAACACTTGCAAGCGTACGAATACGGAGTTGCACACTTCCAAGTATCCAATTAGCAGTTGCACACTTACAAGTGTTGAGCAGTTAAACACTTAGTTTACCGGTGTAAAGGTGTGAAAGGTCACAACTTTGTTGGTGCCTGTTAAAGGTAGGGATTCGCACCTTTGTTTTTCCAGTGGACCTAGAATTCACGATAAAAACGAAGTCCCATTTTTTGAGGGAAAAGGGAAAACTTTGAGGGAGTCAGTAACTTTGAGGGATCTTTCTTGAAAAATAAGAACGACCCTCAAAGTAAGTCACAAATTTTGGGGAAGTTCCTCAAAGTTAGCGTGCGGCTGCTGCTGCGCCCACCTCGCTACTTTAGAGCTTTGTAACAACTGATCAAATTGTCAGTTGGTCAAATTGAATGTGTTTATCTTAGTTTTACAGCTGCGGAACTCGTCCTGCAAAGTTTGATGTGTGTACGATGAGAAAAAACGAAACAGATCTTTGGAATGGTTTACGTGCTTTCAGATGTAAATTATTCACAAAATCAGTTTCGTTTCTTCTCATTGTACACGGAAAATTTGGTTCTTTTTCGCCTAGGCCTACGGTCATTTGGGAGATATGGCAAGTGCACTCTCATTTCCCTATGGATGTGCTATCCGCATGTTATAAAGAATTTTGTGCTAACGTATTATGGATCACAAATTATCCATAATATTGATAAAATTGTCCGTATTACAAAATTCTCGGTAAACGTGTCCATAAGGAAATGAGAGTGTGGGAAATATGCTATACCACACCACAAAAGCTTACGTTACTCGCGCGCTGTAAGTCCTAGGCGACACCCGCTGACATCAAAATTAGTTTAACACTGCACACTGCAC